ATCTTGGCCATATAAACAGACTAGGAAAAATTGACGTGCAGGATAATCAAAGCTAGAGGTGCTGGCTACATTTTAAAGGCATGAAAACACCAAAGCAAACACTAACACCATGAAAAACATAAAAAGAAATTGTTTAAACTTCAAGTTATTAAAAATGAGTACAATGAGGCCTTTTTTAATTGGCCATTGTAGGAGAAGGAATATCCCTGTGACAAATACAATCATCCATTTTCTAGGCCAACCAGATAGCTAAGATTTGATTTATTTTTTAACCTGAAAAATGTCACCATAGACATTTCTCATGAGTTGAAAATTCTATCACAGAACTATCTATAATCCAAAATAATTAATTTTTCACAAAATAGAATTTCTCCTTCAAATTCCAGAACTCTTCTAATCTCTTTTATGTGAAATTTTACAATATATTTTACCCTTTTCTTTACACATTCTTAAATCTTCTTACCATGATTTAATCTTTTTGGCTGACTCAGGCCATACTTACTGTAGAGTGTGGTGACCAGGGGTCTTGAACAGGCTCAAGAATATTAGTAGTAGGGTACTGGGGGAAGTGAGTTGGAAGAGTAGGGGATGGGAGGACAGTGAGTAGGATATTCAAAATCAAGATTTCAGAGATGATACAGCTATTGAGGATGACCAGGTCTAAGACAGGGGTTCTTAACCTGATTACCTATGAGAATCATCTGGAGAACTTAAAAAATATGCCAATACCTGGGTCCTACCCCATTGTTCTCAGGGACCCAGGCTCCTTCAGCTTTTAACTTCACCATCCCTAAGATGTGGCCCTCTTCATCATGGCCCCAGATAAAGCTCCAGCTTTCATATGGACATTCTAAGCACTAGGATAGAAAGGAAGAAGGGGCAAAGGGTAAATCAGCTGTCTCTTAACACAAAGCACCTGCCACATGGTGCTTCTGTTTGCGTTCATTGTGCAGAACTTGATAATGTGTCATACCTAATTGTGAGAGAGATTGGGACATTAGTCTTCAATCTGGGTAGCCATATGCCCAGCAAACATACTATTACTATGGAAGAGAGGAAGAGTGGTTATTTTAAAACAAGCTAGCATCTCTATCAGCTCTAGAAGGGTAGTGGATTACACCGTCTGGTAATGTGATTTTTAGGCAATTTGATGATTTTGAAGCTTGGTTGTCTTCTCCCATCCCAGGCTCTCAGGTCCATGGGTGTAAAAGGAAAAGCAGTCTCCAGTTGAGAAGGATCCAGTTCACTGAATGATTTCTGCAAGGGATCACCAAGTTTCAGTTACGGCAAGAATGGGAAGTACAGGAAAGTTAATGATGTAGGGGATTTTTCTGATGATGACATTATTTCTCTACCCACCATCCCCGTATGTCTGCCTTTTCTCCTTAAATAGCGTATATTCCATTATTACAATAATCACTCCTTTGCAAATCCCCATAATGTCCTGGTGCCTCTCTCGCTTTGTAGTACTTCTTGGAAGTCCCCAGCTCTATGTAAGCTTAACTCCCAACATCCTCCTCACAAAATTAGTAACCACAAAGCTTTAATGTCTATTCACCATGGCCTGGCAATCCCACAACATTTCCCTTGAATAGGTCATGTCCCACTCCTGAGAGGGGTCTGTCTGTCATATTCCTCCTGAAACCTGAAATGCCCCCTCCACTTCTCTCCTTCAGCTGGTGACCTCACTTGATACTTCAGTGAAAAAGAAATGAAGTAATCGGGTGGGAGTTTCTTTGCTCCCTGCTTCTGAGCCCACCTTCTGCCTTCCTCTCTTGCTCGCTTTACTTTGCAGTGACATCTCCCAACTTCTGTGAGAGGCTAAGCTCTCTACACTGTAACTTATGAGTTTTCTATAATGGGTCTTTTCTACTCAGCCTCTGAACATGGCAGTGTCCCAGGCCCCAGTCTTGAACCTCTTCCGTCTCTGTAGGTTCATAAGCCCTCATAACGTCTCCCTGGAGCTTAAGACTCATGTCCAGGTATCTGCTTGGCATCGCCACTTGGGTGTTTTATAGATCCTAACCTCTGCAAGTCCAAAAAAAGCTCTTTCTTTCCCACCACATACGTGATCCCTGCTTGCCACCTTCTTCATCTCAATAAAGGTCATCCACCGAGTGGCCAAAGTTAACAACTTAGGTGAAACCCTTGATTCTCTGTCCCCCACCATATGTCATTCATCAGCAAGTCCTGCCAGTTCTGCCTTCAACATCCATCCTAAGTCCTCATAATCCTCCCTCCCCATTGCTTCCACCCTCATCCAAGCTGCCATGGTCTCCTGCGCTAGTACAGTAGCCTCCCTGCTCCCACTTTTCTCTGTTGTAATGCATTCTCTAAGAGGGGCCAGAGTGATCTTTAGAATCTTAAGTCCAGTAATGCAGCACCTTCCCTTTGCACTGGAATAACACCTCAGCTCACAGTGGCCCAGGGCCCAGTGTGATCTGACGCCTGTGTACCTCTTGGCCTCATCATAGCACCCCCGCTGGGGGCGCACTGGGGGCGCTTTACCTTAGGGTAAGGCACTTATTCTCATGTTCTCTCAACAGCTTTCCAGGGTGGTCACCTCCCCAGAGAAGCCTTCCCTCCATCCCTTATTTGAAGAGGTTCCCTCCCAGTCTCTCCCTCTGTGTTTATTCTCCTGGCACTTACCCTCCCTGAGGGAGGGGACCATGTCCAGCTCATTCACATCTGTATTTCCAGTGTTTAGTATAGTCATTAACCTTCAGTAGAAACAAATCAATTTATTGAATACCCAAATGAAAAACTGTCTGGGACATATCTCAGATTTTTGTCACATCGCTTCCATCCCTCTTATTTGTACCATGAGTGCCACCAGGAACAGTAACTTCCTGATTACTATTTCTAAAAGCAGTGACACCCTAGTTGACGATTTCTCATCCGAGAGGGGCTGGGAAAACCAGTTAACTAACCTGGTTAAGAACTGCATGTAAAGAACAGGGGACTTTAGAAGTCAAGTCCAGCATTAGTGAAGGGGCCTTATTCTTGTTTATTTTCCAGTGAATATTATTGCCCTAGCGTCATGAATTTTGTTATTGTTGTTGCCGCATAGAGATGCCCAGAAGCTGTCTGGTCAGGATCTTCACCGTCACGGTCTTACAGGAAATACAAGAGAAGAAGTCAGATGTGCTCTGAGCCTTGATGGAGCCAGGGAAGGGAGGTCCAGGAGGTGAAGGACAGCCAAGGCCGGGGGGCGGGGGGTGCCTCCTTGCGCATTGGGGCTCTTCCTAAGCCTGTCTTCACGGACTCCAGGAGAGGGGGCTGTGAAGGGGAAAGATGAGCATTCCCTGGTTGTCTGTCTCTGTGTGGCAGCTTCACTTATAAACCTTTACAACCAAAGATCTCCTTAACACGCCACAGATGGGGTTTTAGATAATAGCATTTTAAGCAGGGGATGACTGCTTTCTCTTTAAGTTCCTGAGTTTCCTTAAAGTAAAATAGTACTTAAGGGATTGTGGGGTTTTTTTATTGTGGTAAAATATACATAACATAAAATGTAACACTTTTAGCCATCTTAAGGGTACAGTGGCATTAAGTATATTCATGTCATGCAACCATCACTGCTGTCCATCTCTAGAACTTTTTTATCATCCTAAACTGAAAATCTGTACCCATGAAGCAATTAACTCCCCATTCCCCCAGCCCCTTCTGACACCTTCTATCCGGAGGTAGCTTCAGATCCCACCTGTTTCAGGGCTCTGGCCCACGAGGCTGACCCCGCCCCCGCCTTCAGATGACAGTTGCAAGTCCACATTGTTTCCTGTGCTTCTGAGCGACCAGAGATCAGAGGTTCCTGCAATCTCCTCCTCAGGATAGATTAATTTGCTAGAGCGGCTCACAGAACTCAGGGAAACCTCTTACTCACTAGATCACTGGTTTATCATGAAGGATAACTCATGAATAGACAGATGGAAGACACACAGGACAAGGCATGTGGGAAGGGGTGCAGGCTTCCAGGCCCTCCCTGGGCCCCACTCTCTTAGCACCTCCACGTGTTCACCAACTGGGAAGCTTCTTGAACCCCTGTCCCTTTGTGTTTTAGGGAGGCTTCGTTACATAGGCATCATTGATTAAATAATTGGCCATTGACAATTAGTTCAACTTCCAGTCCCTCTTCCCCTCCCCGAAGGGCGGGGCAGGTGGGAGGGAGGGGCTGAAAGTTATAACCCTCTAACCATGAGGGTTGGTTCCCCTGGCAACCAGCCCCCATCTAAGGGCCTTTCCAAATGTCATCTTATTAAATAAACTCAGGTGTGGTTGAAAGAGGCTTGTTATAAATAACAAAGGACACCCATTTCTCCTTTATTGCTCTGAAGTTTTTTTCAGGAACTGGGATCAAAACTGAGTATCATAACCAAAGATGCCCCTATGGCTCTTCTGTAGGAAATTACAAGGGTTTCAGGAACTATGTGCCAGGAACAGTGGATGGACACCATCTTACTATAACAGTGGATGGACACCATTCTTACTATAAATCACAATATCCCCGTCATAAATAGATTCATACCATATTTGTCTTTTTTTGTCTGCTTATTTCTGTCAGCATAAGGTTAAGGCTTTCTATGATCTAGCTTGTCAAAAATCTCATCCCTTTTCAAGGCGGCAGAGAAATGGGAATGGGTGGGTCATGGCTCCTTCTCTCAAGAAATACAAGGACTGTGGAGGAGGGACCTATTTTATGCATCACAGATGCATGAATAAAATTAGCTATTATATACTATATTTAGTGCTGTAATAAGATGTGTATAGAGTATTATGGGAGCACATTATAATAATCATGATGTCTAGTGTTTCTGAAGACAAAACCTCCTTGGATGTTATCCAAGATAGATGATCTACCACATTTTGATTAGTAGTGGGTAATGCGGTAGAGAATTTCCAGTGTACAAGTTTTGGTTGTACATTTGTTTTTTTTTAATAGCTAACAGTCCATCCACCTTCTCTGTGATCTAAATGTCTCTTCTGCTTTTTTCTTCCTTTAGTGGTTTTTAATTGCCAACAGATCTTACAAAGTCAGTGCAGCAAGCTCTTTCTTCTTCAGTGGTGTGTTTGTGGGAGTTATTTCCTTTGGTCAGCTTTCAGATCGCTTCGGAAGGAAAAAAGTCTATCTCACAGGTAATCAGTTAAGAGTGTTCATGAACTGAATAGGAGGACTTACTTCCTTAAGGTTCTCAGGGAATTGCCATGTGGATACAGAACTGATTTTTATTGCACTGGCAAGAGGCCACACTGCAGCCAGAGTTGATTCTGGCCAAGCGTTTTAACGGGACCAGCAGCATACCTGGTGAAGGCCACGTATTGCATCTAAGCTTTTCATGATGATGGTGCTTTTGGCAACCCCTGAATTCTAACTTATGCCACGTTTCTAAAGAGAACAGAGACTGACCCAGTGTACTAGATCCATTTCCTTGTATCTTGTTCGTTTGTTCATTTCAAATATGCTCTATAAGACCCAGCATAGTTCTTTTGACAAGCTGAGCATGAGCTGGGATTTTTCCATTTCCCACACTGTTGTGAAAATTGAAAACTGTGCATGATTGACAGATATCAACTTGTAACAAAGAAAGAGAAACCTTAGTTTTTCTTTATAGTTTTTAAGAGAAAAGTTTTTTTAAAAGCATAGCTTAGAAAACTTAACAAAGGTGTACCTTTACAAACGTAAAATAAGTATAATTTAGTACTTTGATCAAATGCTGTTTTACATCCGGATTATTGACTGCTGTTCCTGTCATTCTAGGTTTTGCTCTTGACATCTTATTTGCTATTGCAAATGGGTTTTCCCCCTCCTATGAGTTCTTCGCAGTAACTCGCTTCCTGGTGGGCGTGATGAACGGAGGAATGTCGCTGGTGGCCTTCGTCCTGCTGAACGAATGTGTGGGCACCGCCTACTGGGCACTCGCAGGTACTGCTCACTCCGTGCAGATGACGGACATGGTGAGCTGCCCCAGAAAACCTCGCAGGGAACCAGCTGAACCCCAGAATCTAAAAATGCACTTGGACTTGAGGCACTCTATCTCACCATTAGATTTGCTTTCCGGGGTTTGTTCTGTATGACCTTGAATAAGTCATTTTATTCATATCCCTCTGTAGAAAGTCTCCCTAGGACCTGCCTCATAGATGGTGAGCTTGCCTCCAGATTATTCCAAGAGTGTCAGTTTCCTCGGGAGGGCATTAACCGTTTACACCTTAAACTGAAAAATAGTGCAGACATAAGAAAGCCTAGACACTCCTTTCCCAGCGCTTTCTTATTGTATTTTTATTAAATATTTATCTCCTAGGCAGGGGAGGGACAAGTTGGAGGGACCAGATGACGTAGGGCCTGTGCTAGGCCAAATGAGGAATTTGTTTTTATTTGAAGTGCAGTAAGAAGCCAGTGGGCGAATTAAATAGTGGAGTGATAGGATACAGAAAGACGACTGTGGCAGAGGTGTGGAGAATGGACCATGGGTGGGGAGAGAGCAATTGGAGGAGAAATTGAAGGGTCATTCAGGAGGTGATTGTGGTTGGCCCGTGAAACATGACGGGGGCTTGCTTAGACACAGTGGGAGGAGAGGAGCAGGGAACATGGCCATGGGAGCTGGATTTTGATGGGACAGTGACTTGCTGAAGGATTGGAGTGGGGAGAGCTGTTCTGAGCAATGACAGAAAGTGTTATTCTTGGAAGCCAGGTGCTATCTGATGCACCCTAATGAAACTGTAATAGCTATTGATTATCTTAAATTTCCAGGGAAATCATAGCGTCCCCACTCCCTTACTTATCGGACCACATGTTTGGATTTGGTGTCCTGAACATGCTTCCACTTCAGCTGTCCCTTCTGCTCCCCCCCTTTTCCTCACTAGGGCAGAGTAGACATGTCATTATGGCTAGAGAATTGATCATCTCTGGGCAAGAAAACAAGAACACAGTCCTCTTACAGAATTCTTGTAGAAAGTTCTTGTAGCCAGATCAAAAAGGTCCTGTCGCTGTGGGTTGCCCACAGAAGCCTGCCTCTCCCTAGGAGGGTGGAGAGAGAGGACTGGGACAGCACGCAGGCTCCGCAGTCAGGCAGACAAGGTAGGGTCCCAGCCATCCTGCACGCAGCTCCATGTCTTAGACAGCGGCCCCTGACCTCTCGGTGCGGTTTCCTCTCTGTGTAGGGCTCGGATGGCACCTGCTTTATAGGACAATGTATGTAAAAGGCTGCGCGGTAAACAGTACTGAGGACTACTATTCACTGTGATGGTAGCAGTTACAGAAGGTGTGTCAGAGGTATAAATTCACATGTATATTGGGCAAGCCAGTGGACTTAATACCCATCTCAGCATTTATTTTGAAAAGCATAGTCTTTTTCACAATTCCATGGTTGATTTTTTTTCCCTATCAGCGTGCTGGCAAAAATCCACGCTTCGTGTAGACAGACAAGAAACAGAGCTAGGGGCGCCTGGGTGGCTCAGTCGTTAAGCGTCTGCCTTCGGCTCAGGTCATGGTCCCAGGGTCCTGGGATCAAGACCCGCATCGGGCTCCCTGCACCGTGGGAAGCCTGCTTCTCCCTCTCCCACTCCCCCTGCTTGTGTTCCCTCTCTCGCTGTGTCTCTCTCTGTCA